AAGGCCGGTTAGACTTCTTGCTTAGCACGTCACCAAGAGGAGAGCACGGGAAGCTTATCCACACCATCGAAGGAAGGAAACGGTCCAATCTTTGACCACATTTCATGAAAAGCTCCCCAACCTCTTCCTTCCGTTGAGGATAAGTCGTGATCTCCACCAAAGATAATCTCTAAGCTGCAATAAAGAAGCCTTGAGGATATGTCATGATCTCCACAAGAATGATCTCTTATCTACTATAAAATGGCTCTAATCTGGGAGAGGAGGGACACACTCCATCAGAGATTTACAGAAGACGAACCGACTATCGGAGATTATTATTTTCTTTGATTCTCCATTCCCNTATCTTTGTTTTGCAGCTTTGTTTTGTTTATTTATTAAATTACAAAGTCAAATAAGTCAAATCTTAACTTGGTGAAATTACTTTCTGGAACTTTATGGTGAAGTTCATTTGGTAAAAAATTTATGGTCATTGTGCATGGGGGTGCAAAGCTCCATTTGCTGATTGTGGCATAAGAGAAATAAATGTTGTGGTACAAGTAAAGCTTCTTTTCCTGCAGTCAACTTCCTTTTTGTTAATCAAAAGATCGTGAACTTCATTGCCTCTCCATCAGTTTTTCGTCCCTTTATTCTAATGCATCCATAGTATTCTGGGCTTATTTAATCAATCCTGATTCTGGATACATATTTTAGTAGCAATCAACATATTTCCACACGCAACATGAGGAAGTGACAAAAACAAGTATGGATCCTACACTTGGATGGAAAATGTCCTCTTAAATAATATGTTTCTCATTTGGAATGACATTCAAAGCTGTTTCTTGTATTTCTTTCCTCTAAAAATCAGACAGTCTTGTCATAACTCATTTTAAAATACCTAAGCTATGTAAGCTACATAATCTTTTCTCTTTATGTGCTAATTAGGCTTGTTGATTTGCGATATTATTTGCAGAATTGATCAGAATAGACATAAAATATTGTGAAAAATATCTATACCAGATAGCACTTATCAGCTTGATCCTGGTTTCTCTAAATTTTTACCATGGCTGCTGGTCATTCACTGCTTTAATAAGTCCATATCTAAGCAAGTGGATGAATCGTAAAACATATCAGAAAGTTATTATTTTTCGCATAGTTTATGCAATTACTTATTTTGCCCGTATGTATCTCTCTGAACTTTGAAAATTAGTAATATGTAAAAAGAGGATCTATAATGTGTTCCTTTGGCAAACGTCTATAGAATGNAGTATGTATCTCTCTGAACTTTGAAAATAAGTAATGATGGGTTAAGCCCAAATAGTCCAATTTATGTATTAAAGCCCAACCCCGGTTGAGGAGCCCAACCTCATTGTGAATCCNTGCTTTAATAGGTCAGCTTGAGTTACTTTGAAGTCACAAAGGATCACGGGTATGAAGCATTGTAATGTTGCATGAATTGACTAGTAACCTTTATATTTAATGTGTTAAGCTAGTCAACAATATGCTATGTGGTGTATGTCATAACGAAATAATCCATCCATTTGCCAATGAACGAAAAAATGCAAGTGAACAGAAATATCATTTTCTTCTCATCTCTCAATAACAATTAGACAACAAATATCTGATTCGACTTTTTTTTGCCTCTTGGTGCAGAATTCGTTGTCCATTTGCTAGACAAAACAATTGCAAGCTATCATTCTAATTATTTGTTTGATGATTAAAATGTGTATGGATATCGGTTTAATGGGTTTTTGTTGAATGTGCACAGCTAAATGTGGTTGTAGCTGTTGTTGGTAATATATATATATATATATATATATATATAAATATATATTGATAATTAGCTATTGTTTTTAATAAATTTTTTTTTTGAGAATAGCAAGAAAGAAGTAAGTAAAAAACACATGCTTATAAAATTGTCTTCTTCAAAGTGCATGTGCGCGTGTAGAAAAATGCTTACATTTACAAAGAGGAGTGGATTATTTCAATTGTATTAGGGATAGCGTGACTTTTTGGTTTCCTTGTGAATTTTGGTAATGAAGAAGTTCAAAGTTCTCCTCTTTTGTTCATTCAATGAAAATGTAGTGCAGCTCTTCTGTACAATCGGTGTTGTGCCTTTTTTGTTGTTGTTTTGTCTGATTTTGACCATTTCTATCAATAACACCAGTCAATCAGCTCTGTGTGGAATTTGCATTTCTAGAGTGCATAATTATTTTGTACTAATGAAAGCTATCTGGTGAGATGATGCTATGAGAGCAGAGATGATATCTTTGGGAGTAAGCCATCTCTTAGTGGAGGGGTAGTTGTCAATGATTGTAGGTTTGCAGAGTAAAAGATGAGGGGTTCTTGGCCTTCATTATTTTTGACAAGTTTGGCATGTCTCTGCCTCTGTCTTTTTCTGTTCTCCTTGTTTTTAAAGGTCTGGCAATGACGAGGTGGACTTCTAGGCTATGGATGAGGCTACACAAGTTTAAATGGCCAATATGTAATTTCTCAGACTTAGGGTCAATGGCCCCCTGGTCCTAAGGTGGATTTGCCCCAGCATCCTGACTTATACTTGAATATTTTAGTTGATTTCACATTCTCTCCTTTGATTCTATTTTCGGGGTTGATCTCTTGTCCATGTTCACATTTTGATAACTAGCGTCCAGTGACAATTTTGTTACCTGCTAAAAGTTAAATAAAAGTGTGTATCTGCCCTTGCGTTTTGTTGTGANCGGGGTTGATCTCTTGTCCATGTTCACATTTTGATAACTAGCATCCAGTGACAATGTTGTTACCTGCTAAAAGTTAAATAAAAGTGTGTATCTGCCCTTGCGTTTTGTTGTGAGTGAGCATTTTAGGTGTCATTATCATACTATTCCCAGTCGTCCAATTTGTAATGCTAAGCAAAGCACAGATGGTCTCTGTTGCAGTGTGCCTTCTCATGAAAAAGAGTTTTTTTTTTTGTTTTATTGTTTATATATGATGATCGAAAAGAAAAGAAGCATTTATTGGGGTCGCTCTATCTGGCAAAATTGGGATATGTTAGCTGTCATGCATATCTATCTCCGTTTCACTTCAAGGTCTGGCAANTTCAAAAAGAGGTTTTTTTTTGTTTTATTGTTTATATATGATGATCGAAAAGAAAAGAAGCATTTATTGGGGTCGCTCTNATGAAAAAGAGTTTTTTTTTTTGTTTTATTGTTTATATATGATGATCGAAAAGAAAAGAAGCATTTATTGGGGTCGCTCTATCTGGCAAAATTGGGATATGTTAGCTGTCATGCATATCTATCTCTGTTTCACTTCAAGGTCTGGCAATGATGGGTGCTCATCTTGGCTAAGCCAAGAGGGGTATTACATCCGTTGGGTGTGTTTGGGGCCATATGACCCTCTGATTTTATTGGATCTTTGGTTGTTTGTGTTTGGGACTATGATTCAATTTAGTTGCTTGTTCTACTTTTGTTCTTGTTTATTTTGTCTATGTTCGTACATGGAAAAATTCATTTTTTACTAAAGTAGTTTTCTATGGAAAAAGTGCATGCACACATTTATATGCATGAGAGAGAGAGAGAGAGAGAGAGAGAGGTGCATTTAGCAAAGGAGGGAAAAAAAGGAATCGTGTATTGAAAATATTGAATATTTACCTGGGTGTTTCTTCTTATTATAATCTCTTCTTGGCTGTGGCTTGTATTTGTACAGACAGATATTAATATACTTACCTGGGTACGAATATGACTTTCAAAAGATTGGCACCTTCTTCTAGGAATCCACACTTGCACCAATATCATAAATTCTTTTTATCTTCATATTTCTGTTCCATTTGCAATAATAAGTGGTCTACAATCTTCTTGTTGTTTCCGACTTGTGGTTTTCTTCTCACATTCTTTCCACTTGTGATTTTAGCTTTATGATAAACTTCTTGTTTCTTTNTAATCTTCTTATTGTTTCCGACTTGTGGTTTCCTTCTCACATTCTTTCCACTTGTGATTTTAGCTTTATGATAAACTTCTTGTTTCTTTTTCATAGCTCTTTGTCACTTTGTGCAATATTAAATGTCTACACATTTATCATTGTATGTCTGTTATACTCTCTCTCATGTGAACTAGTCTTATATCCTTCTCCCTAACTGATTTTTTTTTTAGTTTTTTATTTTCTTCTAGCAAGACATTTCATTCTCGCATGGATTTCCGTGTACTTTTTACAGTTCTTTTAAAGGCCAAGAGATTGGAAATGAAAAGCTGACTGCTGTTCTTGATTTACAACAAATTACATTCAAAAACATTGATGCTCGTGGGCTAATCACTGGTTTTCAGTTTTTGCAGGTAATTCTTTTTTGTGTTATCATTCTATTACAGAAATTTTAGTGTAAATGACAATAGATAAGAAGCATCAAGCATATGACTTATGAAGGTGTTTATACAGCTCTATTANGACTAGTCTTATATCCTTCTCCCTAACTGATTTTTTTTTAAGTTTTTTATTTTCTTCTAGCAAGACATTTCATTCTTGCATGGATTTCCGTGTACTTTTTACAGTTCTTTTAAAGGCAGAGAGATTGGAAATGAAAAGCTGACTGCTGTTTTTGATTTACAACAAATTACATTCAAAAACATTGATGCACGTGGGTTAATCACTGGTTTTCAGTTTTTGCAGGTAATTCTTTTTTGTGTTATCATTCTATTACAGAAATTTTAGTGTAAATGGCAATAGATAAGAAGCATCAAGCATATGACTTATGAAGGTGTTTATACAGCTCTATTANCTGCCAAAATCACCAGGACACTATAGCTTCAATCCATAGTCCTCCACGATTCACTCGCCTTCTGGTTTCATTGATCCATGCATCATTATCATGTAACTTGAGCTGACAGGGTAGGACAAGGAATTTTGTTTTTGCACATTGTTCTGATTAGTTTAAAAATCACATTGGTCGAGACATACTAAAACACCCTGAAATACCTCAAAAGAGTATGAGTTTCGATATTCAATCACTAGTACATTTTTGTTTCTACAGAAACCAAAGTGTTTTGGTTGTTTGAAACGTAATTNTACAATTTTTTACTGGAAATTCTTTTGGAGTCATTTCCCTTGGCACAAATAATTGAACAGACGTGTCTATGAAAACATAACAAATGGAGTTCGGNGTGTCTATGAAAACATAACAAACGGAGTTCGGTCTTCACAAATCAAATTTGAAACTAACTCGACTGCAGTCAATTTCTACNAAATCTGTTAAAGAGTGTAGTTCTTTGATTGAAAATCCTCCAAATTGAACTACCACCACAAGTAGTTCTTGCTCAACTCATCTCTATGCCGTGGTAGATTTGCTGGTCCAAACTTTTAATTTTCTTCGNTCTATGAAAACATAACAAATGGAGTTCGGTCTTCACAAATCAAATTTGAAACTAACTCGACTGCAGTCAATTTCTACAATCATATGTTCTTTTGTGTTCCCTATGCATAATGCCTTGTACAATAGCTTGGAATTGGTTCTTTATTTGTTCATTGGTTTCTTAACTTGATTTATAGTTTGAAGATGTGGAACATGATCAAGGTTTTCTTCTGGTGTACTAGCTTCTAGTCATTGTGCTGCCATGAACTTGTCTGGGTTCACGAAATTTGTGCAGATCACCTTTGTTAGAGGCCAAACCTCTGGTTTTGATCGCAAATCTGGTTCTAGGTTTATTATTGATGATAGGGTTCTTTTATATCTGAGTCATACTAAGCAAGTGTAGGGTAATATCGTAACTACAATCCTTCTAGTATAAATAAGTGGGTGTAGGACAACACAACTCATATACAGATTTTCTTCTCAACTTTTCTTTCTCTCTTTCTCTCATTTCACTTTTTCTTCCTTAAACACTTGTACCACTACAAGTACATGTTCAAAATGCCATGGAATCTCCTCAACTAAATTACAAATGTAGATTTAATGCAATCGTATATTTTGTAAGTGCTTTCCTCCTGAAGATTACTCAAATATCTCTCACACAAAAAATTAATTAATCAAGAAAAATATCAATAAAGATGAAACAAAAAAGACATCAAAACTTAACGTCAAAGGCATGAGGCAAAACAAAGAATTCTCTAATAAGGTTAGTGCCGATAATTTTTTTTAACGCCAAGCTTCTGCCATTACAAAACATAAAAGACCAAAAAGTTAATGACTCCTAATCATAAACTAATCCTAAATTAACTTTAATTGAATTACTCAAAACTAACTAAAATACTTTATGGGTCAAAACTCTTAAACTCATTAAAACTCTAATTATAAATTAATATCAAATAAATAAAGAATAAAACACTTGGAGAGTTTGGGTCAAACTCTAACAGTATCACTTGAACCAAACTCTTCAATCTTGATCAGCTCCATCATCCGCTTAAGCTTCATAAATTCATCAAATTTAAGTGGTTTGGTAAAAATATCTACAATCTGATGATCGGATTGACAATACAAAATTTCAATCTCACCATCAATAACCAAGTCACGAATATAATGGTACTTGACATGAATATGCTTGGTTCTCCTATGAAAAACTGAAATTAATGTATAAATGAATGACGAGTGATAATTTTCGTATTTCAATTATTTGAAATTTTTTGGGTAAAGACTGATGTTGTCTGTTATTGAAGATCTTCTTGATAAACAGACCTTGGGCCACTTAAAGGCATACTTGGCCAATGATCTTTGATTGTTTACTCTCATGTAAGTTTGCATCACTTTTATGTCAACATATATGTTATACATTTTCATTCATGGAGGCTTACTATCCAGAGCGTTTAGCTAAGTGTTTCATACTAAATATGCCACGGTTTTCCGTGAGTGTTTGGAGGATAGTATGCCGATTCCTTGAGAAAGCGACGCTAGAGAAGGTATGCAATGTAATTAGTAGTAATTTTCTAGTTGAAGATACATTAGATAACCTTCTTAACTGGGTTGCATAGACTGGATGATCCATGACCACCATGAGGTATACTGTCGGTGAATATGCCATTTAGATATACCTTGACTTGCTGTATGCCAATACCTTCTTTTTTCCAATGACTGACAAATTATCTGTTTTGGTTCATAATTTTCATTTGAATTTCAAGCTGTGATTTTGAATTTGTCATAACGAATGCAGATCGTAATTGTGAACAATGAAGACGAAATGAGGGAATTTGTTAGGGAAATTGGTGAAGAGGCCTTACCCGAAGAGTATGGCGGGCGAGCAACGCTCGTGGCTCTTCAAGACGTTGTACTTACCCCATTGGTAACTCAATAGATAAATCGATGTGGCTTCGGTTGCAAACCCAAGTCTCAGGAATCTGATGTGTATGAATGATACCAGTTACACCTTGTAACCTTATAGCTTATTAAGTACCACCAATTATTTCTTGCGTCACATTAATACTCTTGACCCCCAAAACTATTGCTCTTGTGATAGAAGAGTACTTTGTCAAGATTGAAGGTTTCAACTTGATGCCTCCTTTTGCTTGTAGATTTATGTGATGAGTTTTGGTACAAATAGAAACGTCGAGTGCCAAAATCACCAGGACACTATAGCTTCAATCCATAGTCCTCCACGATTCACTAGCCTTCTGGTTTCATTGATCCATGCATCATTATCATGTAACTTGAGCTGACAGGGTAGGACAAGGAATTTTGTTTTTGCACATTGTTCTGATTAGTTTAAAAATCACATTGGTCGAGACATACTAAAACACCCTGAAATACCTCAAAAGAGTATGAGTTTCGATATTCAATCACTAGTACATTTTTGTTTCTACAGAAACCAAAGTGTTTTGGTTGTTTGAAACGTAATTTCCATCCATGGGTAGAGTATAACATTGTTTCCACTAGGCTTCTCTTCAAAGGAAAATCAGCTTTTGTAGATAGGCAAATTAAATCCTCCAAATTGAACTACCACCACTGGTAGTTCTTGCTCAACTCATCTCTATGCCGTGGTAGATTTGCTGGTCCAAACTTTTAATTTTCTTCGGCTAAATCTGGCTCCTGTTTTAGCAAGATAGTGTTGGATTGTATTTGGATCATCTCAATTTCAAAAATTACCAATGTCGCTCATATTAAATCATTCACCGTTAAGTTCAATGGGTCTCACGAGAGTGAGATTTTATGGTTCATTTTTCAATTTGTACGTGTTATCTTTGCACAGGGGTCATGCTAATCTTTTCTATATCGTTCTAATTTTATCGGATGTTCCCGAAGGGACAAGAGTGAGTGAGATTTTTATGGGTCCACACATTAAGGCACAAAAGAATTTTACTACAATTTATAAAACTCGATCGATTTGCATCTGTTTAGTACAAATACATTATTTGAAAAGTATAATAATCAATTATTTATTATAATATCTATTATAATAATGACCTATCAGTATAAATTTACATATAAAAAAATCACATGCTCCCGCATTTCTCCAACACTAACAATTGCAGTTGACCAAAAAAAAAAAAACAATCGCAGCTGGTTGGGTTTTTTTTAACTAGCAAAATTGTTGGTTGCTAGATGCAATTCCCATGTTTTTGGGGGTGTTGAAGAAGAAAAGAAGTGCAGCATCCAGCCTTCCAGGATGTGGGACAGTCTTAGGAATCAACCACAACTGTCCATTTCATTTCGCCAAACCCCTTTTCCTCTACTCTATCTCTCTCTCCTTCTCAATTATTTATTCTCTTCTTCAAGTGTTCCGTTTTTGTCAACACCACTGTTCTCTCTTTCTCTTTATCTGCCTTTTTTCACAAATTCAATTTGAATCCATCTTTCAGTTCAAAGCCATATCTTAGATCTCAAACCAACCCATACTGTTCCTACCCGAAATCCGAAATGGACAGAAACCAAGAAATTGCACTGACCCAGATGCGGAAATCGGTTGAAAAGCTTATGTCTTCCACAGAGGTAAGTTATAATGCTGTAATCACTCTCTCACAAACACACAGCCATATTTCCTGCACAATGCACTATGTGAATTGGTCATCAATTTTGTTCCTTTAGTACAAAAATATTATTGCTTGCAGAAGTATGGAGACCCAGCACTCATGAGGTTCTTGATTGCCAGATCAATGGACCCAGACAAAGCTGCAAAGATGTTTGTTCAGTGGCAGAAATGGAGGACTGCATTGGTGCCTTCAGAGTTCATCTCTGACTCTGAAGTTGGCGATGAATTGGGATCTAAAAAGATTTACTTACAGGGTTTATCAAAAAATGGACACCCAGTAATTATTGTAAGAGCAAGCAAGCATTTTCCTTCCAATGATCGGCTCCAATTCAAAAGTAATTTCCCTTCTTTTTTTTCTCTCTCATTGTCTTGCATTAATTGTCATTGATTAGTCAATAATCGCGTGGTTTCTGTCCCTAAGAGATTAGATTCTTTTCTGATTGATGATACAATGATGCCTTCTTATCTTATATTGTCCTATATTGATGGGCCATCATATGAATGTTCCGAAAAAGAAAAGTTTCATAACAAAAGTCCATTTTGATTTGAACAACTTGAAGTTTATCAATACTTTTAGTATGCTTAGACTTATTGTCACGGGGCCACTCACTGTTGGTGATCCCGGGTTTGTTAGCCTTTCATTGTTGGAAAATTTCCTCATATGGTTGTTTTTTTATAATTGTTTTTATGAACTTTAGGAATGTCATGCTAAAGGGCAATAATGTAGTTTTAAGTCACAATCATCATAGTCACCAAAGCCTATTGCTAAAGATAATGTTCCTATGATTATTTAATATTGAATTAGAAAAGGCCATTAATATGCCCTTTTTAAAATAAAATAAGTGGTTTTGGGCTAGTGATTATGAAATGATTCCACCTAATGATCAGCAGTCCAGCTGAATTTTGGCACTTGGAATTCAGCGGGTTATAGAATATTCTTTATTAGATTGGTAGGCCTGATGAATTTCCCCTTAAGAAAATGTTATCAGATAAAAACAGCTTATGTGTTTCTTGATCTCGTGTAGATACGGCTTTTTATGTCGACATTTTTGTTTATCTTTGTTTTGCAGCTTTGTTTTGTTTATTTATTAAATTACAAAGTCAAATAACTCAAATCTTAACTTTGTGAAGTTACTTTCCGGAACTTTGTGGTGAAGTTCATTTGGTAAAAAATTTATGGTCATTATGCATGGGGGCGCAAAGCTCCATTTGCTGATTGTGGCATAGGAGAAATAAATGTTGTGGTACAAGTAAAGCTTCTTTTCCTGCAGTCAACTTCTTTTTTGTTAATCAAAAGATCGCGAACTTCATTGCCTCTCCATCAGTTTTTCGTCCCTTTATTCTAATACCTCCCGGCATCCATAGCATTCCGGGCTTATTTAATCAATCCTGATTCTGGATACATATTTTAGTAGCAATCAACATATTTCCACATGCAACATGAGGAAGAGGCAAAAACAAGTATGGATCCTACACTCGGATGGAAAATGTCCTCTTAAATGACATGTTTCTGACTCATAACAAAATAATCCATCCATTTGCCAATGAACGAAAAAATGCAAGTGAACGGAAATATCATTTTCGTCTCGTCTCTCAATAACAATTAGACGATAAATATCTGATTCGACTTTTCTTTGCCTCTTGGTGCAGAATTCGTGGTTCATTCGCTAGACAAAACAATTGCAAGGTATCATTCTAATTATTTTTTTGATGATTGAAATGTGTATGGATATCGGTTTAATGGGTTATTGTTGAAAGTGCACGGCTAAATGTGGTTGTAGCTGTTGTTGGTAATATATATATATTGATAATTAGCTATTGTTTTTAATAATTTTTTTTTTTGAGAATAGCAAGAAAGAAGTAAGTTAAAAAACATGCTTATAAAATTGTCTTCTTCAAAGTGCATGTGCGTGTGTAGAAAAATGCTTACATTTACAAAGGGGAGTGGATTATTTCAATCATATGAGGGATAGCATGACTTTTTGGTTTCCTTGTGAATCTTGGTAATGAAGATGTTCAAAGTTCTCCTCTTTTGTTCATTCAATGAAAATGTAGTGCAGCTCTTCTGTACAATAGGTGTTGTGTAAATCTAATCTTTTTGTTTTACAGAACTTTTTTTGTTGTTGTTTTGTCTGATTTTGACTGTTTCTATCAATAATACCAGTCAATCAGCTCTATGCGGAATTTGCATTTCTAGAGCGCATAATTATTTTGTACTAATGAAAGCTATCTGGTGAGATGATGCTATCAGAGCAGACATGATTTCTTTGGGATAGTTGTCAATGATTGTAGGTTTGCAGAGAAAAAGATGAGGGGTTCTTGGCCTTCATTATTTTTGACAAGCTTGGCATGTCTCTGCCTCTCTGTCTTTTTCTGTTTCCTTGTTTTTAAAGGTCTGGCAATTACGAGGTGGACTTCTAGGCTACGGATGAGGCTACACAAGTTGAATATGTTTTGGTTCATCATTTTCCCAAAAAGGTGAAGCCTAATTCATAACTAGGGGCACCAGTCGAGAGTGGAACAAATTATTGCATAGGTATCAGAGGGGCAACATTGAAAATATCAATATACTTAAGGCTATTTCATAAATCTTGAAAAAAAATTACACAGTATTTAAATGGCCAATATGTAATTTCTCAGACTTAGGGTCAATGGCTCCCTGGTCCTAAGGTGGATTTGCCACAGCATCCGGACTTATACTTGAATATTTTAGTTGATTTCACATTCTCTCCTTTGATTCAATTTTCGGGGTTGATCTCTTGTCCATGTTCACATTTCGATAACTAGTGTCCAGTGACAATGTCGTTACCTGCAAAAAGTTCAATAAAGTGTATATCTGCCCTTGCGTTTTGTTGTGAGTGAGCATTTTAGGTGTCTTTATCATACTATTCCCAGTCGTCCAATTCATAACGCTAAGCAAAGCACAGATGGTTTCTGTTGCAGCATGCCTTCTCTTGAAAAAGAGTTTTTTTTTTTTTTGGTTTTATTGTTTATATATGATGATCGAAAAGAAAGAGAGCATTTATTGGGGGTTCCTTTATCTGGCAAAATTGGGATATGTTAGCCGCCATGCATATCTATCTCTGTTTCTCTTCAAGGTCTGGCAATGATGGGTGCTCATCTTGGCTAAGCCAAGAGGGGTATTATATCTGTTGGGTGTGTTTGGGCTGTGGCCATATGACCCTTTGACCTTATTGAATCTTTGGTTGTTTGTGTTTGGGACTATGATTCAATTTAGTTGCTTGTTCTACTTTTGTGCTTGCTTATTTTCTCTATGTTCGTACATGGAAAAAGTCATTTTTTACTAAAATATTTTCCTATGGAAAAAGTGCATGCACACATTTATATGCACGAGAGAGAGAGAGAGAGAGAGAGAGAGAGAGAGAGAGAGAGAGAGAGAGGGGCATTTAGCAAAGGAGGGGAAAAAGGAATTGTGTATTGAAAATATTGAATATTTACCTGGGTTTTTCTTCTTATATAATCTCTTCTTGGCTGTGGCTTGTATTTGTACAGACAGATATTAATATACTTACCTGGATACTAATATAACTTTTGAAAGATTGGCGCCTTCTTCTGTGACTTGTGGTCTTCTTCTCACATTCTAGCTGCTTGCGAGTTTAGCTTTATGATAAACATCTTGTTCCTTTTTCATTTAGCACTTTGTGCAATATTATATGTCTACACATATATCATTGTATGTCTATTATACTCACTCTCTCTCTCTCTCTCTCTCTCTCTCTCATCCTAGCAAGAAATTTCATTCTCGCATAGATTTTGTGTACTTTTTACAGTTCTTTTAAAGGCAGAGAGATTGGAAATGAAAAGTTGGTTGCTGTTCTTGATTTTCAACAAATTACATTCAAAAACGTTGATGCTCGTGCGTTAATCACTGGTTTTCAGTTTTTGCAGGTAATTCTTTTTTCTGTTATCATTCTGTTACAGAAATTTTAGCCTAAACAATAGATAAGAAGCATATGAATTATGAAGGTGTTTATACAGCTCTAATACAATTTTTTACTGGAAGTTCTTTTGGAGTCATTTCCCTTGGCACAAATAATTGAACAAAAGTGGTGTCTATGAAAACATAACAGAGGGAGTTCGGTCTTCACAAATCAATTTTGAAACTAACTCAACTGCGGTCAATTTATACTATCATATGTTCTTTTGTGTTCCCTATGCATAATGCCATGTATAATAGCTTGGAATTGGTTCTTTATTTGTTAACTTGATCTATAGTTTGAACATGAAGAACACGATCAAGGTTTTCTTCTGGTGTACTGGCTTCTAGTCATGGTGCTGCCATGAACTGGCTGGGGTTCGCGAAATTTGTGCAGATCACCTTTGTTAGAGGCCAGACCTCTGGTTGTGATGACAAATCTGGTTCTGGCTTTATTATTGATGACTCATAATAAGCATGTGTAGGGTAATATCGTAACTACCCCTTATATCCTTCTTGTATAAATAAGAGGGTGTAGGGCAACACAACTCATACACAGATTTTCTTCTCAACTTCTCTTTCTCTCTTTCTCTCATTNCCAGACCTCTGGTTGTGATGACAAATCTGGTTCTGGCTTTATTATTGATGACTCATAATAAGCAAGTGTAGGGTAATATCGTAACTACCCCTTATATCCTTCTTGTATAAATAAGAGGGTGTAGGACAACACAACTCATACACAGATTTTCTTCTCAACTTCTCTTTCTCTCTTTCTCTCATTTCACATTTTCTTCAACCTTTATACCAGTTTTCTGATTTAACTGTTGATGCACATTGTTAGGCCAAATGTAGTACATATGGTAGTCCGAATAAATCCAAAAAATGTTGTGACAAGGCTTGCTTTGTTGAGTTGACGTAGTCTGAATAGAGTAAAAGTTTAGAAGGCTTAATCCTCATCAGAGATTGTCACAACCCCCAAGTATTTTACTGTAAATTCCTTGAAAAGAACTAAAAGTCTGCTGCAATTGATACCTTACTGTTCCTATTAGTTTTTTTTTTTTTTTTTTGAAGGGGAAATATATTAAGAAAAAACAACAATTACAAAAAAAACAGAACTGTAGAAGCAAAACAGTAACTGTTTGAACAAATTCAAACAGAAAACTGTACAAAAAACAGAAAATCTGTTCAAAGAATGAAAACAGATCCTGTACAGTAACTGTAAAATGGTCTTGCAACACGGCACAGCACCATATCTGTCCAAAAGAGGCACCTGCAGCACAGACCAGCTCACTTAACATAAACTGTTGCCTGATGCAAAAGAGAAAACCCAAAAAAAGTTGGCTTTAATCCTACAACAGGATAAAATCCCTGAAAACAGCTCCTGGGCAATCCTCCAAACCCAAGCTGGACAATCCCTGCACAAACCCATCAACAGAGTCACTACACCCAGCACAGCACAGCACACAGCCCAGCAGCAGCAGCAGACAGCCAGACAAGCAGAAGACCACTGAAAAAACCGACTGCCCCAGCAGCAGAGAGCTACACTATACACCCCTGGTGACAAACCATTGCAACACAGCAATTGACATAAGAGACACACCACATCAGACATAACAGAAATTACCAGACATAATCCAGGCCCTCTGCTTCTAATTGATCCCAGACAGACACTGTTCACAATCTAGACAAACAACACAGCCCAGGGCACCAAGCAGCAAATGCACATCCACAGTAGCCTCCTCATCATCCAACTAAACCCTATGCTCACATATACTCACCTTCTTCAATCTAGCAGAAGGCATCATGCCTTGATCCTGTTTCAGAAGTAATCTACCAGCAGTAGGCAGCACACCATTTTCAGAAAAGTCAGAGTATCTACCAGATTGCACTGCATAAGAAGCCAGAAAATCTGCAATTCTATTGGCCTCCCTATACACTTGCCTAATCTGGAAACGCATTTTTCCAAGCATATCTGAAATTTGTTCCATATAAACTGATAATCTCCATGGAATTTCAACTAAACCCAACACCATATTAACCAACACTTGAGAATCAGATTCCAAAACTAGATGATAAGCACTCAAACCATAATGCATTATCATTTTCAAACCATCCAGCAAGGCTAGACATTCTGCTCTCATATTAGATCCAGTCCCATAAAATGCAGCTGCTGCTAACACTATATGCCCCTTAGAGTCCCTTAAAACCATCCCTCCACCAGATAACCCATTACCTTTTGAGGCCCCATCAACATTTAATTTCATCTCATTCACAGCTGGAGGTTCCCATTTAATCCATGTCACCTTAGTGATGACAGAAAAAGGGGGAACAATCCTAAGGTCCTGCAACATATCTTTACCAATCCTACCTTCATCTTTCTTAGGCTTAATCATAAAGGCCTGCCATTTCAATGCATTGACCACCTGTATGAAGACAGCATGACTATTCAAGCTCAATCCCTCAAATCTCCTCCTACACCTTTCTTTCCATAAAGCCCAGAAGATGAGCATAGAAACACCTCTGATTAAAGCATGGCTAAGAGAGAGGCCTTTGAAACACCTGCATATTCTCAAGAACCTACAAATAGGAAATTCTCCAGGCACAACCTCAAAGCCAATGACAGCAGCAATTTTGCTCCAAACAGAATGAGCAAAAGGACAAAGAACAAAAATATGAGCATCAGTCTCCTCATCCATCCCACATAAGCTGCACTTGCTGATTAAAGACACCGCAATACTTCTTTTCTCTCATCAGTTGTCAATGCCTTCTTATAAATTGTCCAAGTACATAGCTGAGCACTAGGAAGCACTTTCTGATTCCAAATCCTCTGTGCAATGACACTATGCACCCTGGTCCTCCTAATCTGATCCCATGCAGATTTGATTGAGAAAATCCCTGAGTTTGTATGCCTCCACACTCTTTTATCAGCCTTCCCTGGCACCAATACACCAGAACTTCTTGTGTCATCTTTCAATTGAGGTGTAAGCCATTCATCATCCTCTTCAAAATGCCACTCACTATCATACCATAAATCATTAATCTTGGGAAAGAAAGAAGGGAGACTTTCAATTCTGTACAGAAAAGGTCCATTCTCCATCCATGAGTCACACCAGAAGTCAGTGCACTGACCATTTCCAAGCAAAACCCTAGAATTTGTCACCACAAAGTCAAACCAGGGTCTCAAGATCTTGAAACTCATTCCTGCTCCATTGTTACTGCATCTCAACAAATGCCTTCCCTTAAGGAATTTTTCTTTAAAAACCTTTGCCCATTAAGAATAACCCATACCTGCTTAGCTCTGAATGCAGATTGAATTTCCCCAAAACATCTAATACCTAAACCATCTTCAATTTTAGGCTTAGATACATTCTCCAAAGATTCCCAATGTCTTCTTTTAACATCCAGCTTACTAGACCAAATAAAACCAGCTATATAGGAGTTCAATTTCCTTAAAATCCCTTTTGGGATATTCAAACAAGCCAGCATATGAATTGGAATAGCACTCAAGACAAATTGCACTAGAACAATCCTGCCCATTCCAGAAAGCATCTTGGCATACCAACCCTCAATTCTACTTCTAAAAGTCCTCATAATCTCCTCAAAATAGCAAAGCCTCACCCTACCTCTGATAATGGGACATCCCAAATAAGAAAAAGGACATTTTCTTGTGGGAATCCCCTCCAATGATGATAAAACATTTCTCCTTACCACTGAAATTCTTTTGGAGCAATACATAGCACTCTTAGATTTATTCACCTTTTGACCAGAACAAGATTCATGCCCACCAATGAACTTCAAAATATTCAACACAGATCTTTTAGTACCCCTCATAAACAACAAAGTATCATCTGCAAAAAGTAAGTGACTTACCACTGTAGTTCCTCTACCAATGTGATAATGATAAACTAAGTTCTGCTGATATATTCTTTTTAACCCTCTGCTCAGAACCTCCTCTGCCATATCTTTGTCCATTTAAACAAATAGAGAAGTGCTGAGTATTCAAAAAATTAAGAATAATTTGAGTAAACAGGTTGGAGAATCCAAAACACCTCAACACTTGCAATAAAAGTCCCACTCAAGCTATAATATGCTTTCATCATATCCAACTTCATGACCAGATTACCTCCCTCAACTTTTCTGTCCAATTCACCAATAATTGCCCCAGTGTCACACAATCCCCAATCCCTCTTCCTTGCACAAAACCATGCTGTTCCTCAGAAATCAGAGAGGGCAGCAAAGAAGAAAGCCTTGTAGTGAGCAGCTTACTAAAGATCTTATATAAGAAGTTGCATAAACTAATGGGTCTAAAATCAGAGAAAGAAACAGGTGCATCCTTCTTTGGAATTAAAACCAACAAAGTAGAGTTGACTGATTTAGGCATCTCTCCTCCTTTCAACAAAAAATTCACAGCTGACCATACATCCCTCTTAATAATCTCCCAGGCAAACTGAAAGTATTTACCTGATAGGCCATCAGGACCAGGAGCACTCTCAATGGCCATAGAGAAAACCACTTCTTTCACTTCTTCCAAAGAGGCCTCAGCTACCAGCTTCTGATTATCCTCATAACTCACCAGATTAGGAATCACATCAAAAACATGGTCCTGTAAAACATGATTTTCAGATCTATACTTCAGCAATATTCTGATCACCCTGAACCCTATTGCCCTCCTTAATCTGAATTCTAGAAACCTTGTTCCTAGTCTTTGTACTTTTAGCTAAGGCATGATAAAATTTGGTATTTCTTTCCCCTTCCCAGGCCCACTTAATATTGGATTTTTGCTTCCGATAAATTTCCTCCCTCCTGAGCCAATTATCCTGATCACTTTTAAAACTCTCAAGCTCTAGTGACTTAGCAACACTATACTGCTGATCCAATTCCATTTCTGCAGTCTTAATTTTCTGTTCTTGAGCCTTAATGTTTTCAAATAGGTCTCCAAAAACTTCCTTATTCCTCAACTTAATATGGGCTTTTAAGTATTTCAGCTTGATAAACAAGTTAGCCATAGGATTATCAGAGTAAAAACCACCCCATTTCTCAGCAATAAGAGCTCTGAAACCCTCATGATCACACCACATATCTTGGAATCTAAAATATGAAATTCTTCTTTGATTTGGACCATCCCTGATTTTCAGAAACAAAGGGCTATGATCAGATGTACCCCTGGCCCAATGAACAACCTCCATGCTATCAAATCTCATATTCCAGTCCACATTAATCAAAGCTCTGTCAATCCTTTGCATCATCCTTATGTGCCCCTGCCTGTTATCACACCATGTGTATTTGCTCCCACTAAAACCAGCATCCATCAGACCTCTCTGATCCATAAAGTTCCCAAAGTCCTCCATAGCAGACAAAGAAGGAAAAGCACCTCCTTTTCTTTCCTCTGAGCATAGAATAGAATTAAAATCCCCAACCACTAACCAAGGGGTATTTGCAGGAACATTCACCTCCAATAAATGCTCCCATAATGCTCTTCTGACAGTTTGATTACAGCTAGCATACACCACAGAAACCCAGAAAACTGCATCATTCATAAATGTCAACTCCACAGTCAAAACCTGCTCATGAGCAAAAAGCACCCTTATATTTACTCTATCATCCCACAAAAGCCAAATATTTCTCTCTGCTAGATTTGAAAGAGAAATGGTTCAACCCTATACTTTAGCAAAAAGACTCAACTTAGCAACAAGCAGCTTAGGCTCTTGTATAGCCACAAAGCATATATCATTTATTCTAATAAGTTTCTTTAGTCTCCTCCTTTTGGCAGCTTCTCTGCTCCCCTCATATTCCATGAAATTAGATTTATCATGAGTATATAGACTGACAACCCCACTGGAACTTACTCCATTGCATTCATCCTCTGCATTAAAAGAGCTATCAAAAGCCTCAGCATCCTCTGATGTAATTCTCTGGCTCTTAGAACTGGCCTGATCAGAAAAATTCCCCTTATCTGGTGGAACCCTCTCACTAACCAATCCCATTTGATCATCACAGACACCCTCACCTCCTCTCCTTATACCATAATCATGCTCCAGTAAAAAAGAAGAGTTAAAACAAGGAGCATAGAGAGCATAAAACTCCCCCAAATTTTCTTTAGGAGCCTCACTCCCCTCCAAGTCACTCGTATCATTCACCTCATTAGACATTAACTCACCACCATCCTTCTCCAACACAGCAACCTCCACTCCAATATTAATATCAAAATTATTAACAAGAGCAACAGGAGAAGAAAGAGAGCATACCTCCAAACTGTTCCCATCATCATTAGGAGAGTTCAAATGTTTCTGAGTCACTGAGCCACTCTCCACATCATCATTTTCCTTATTAGTTCCAGCAGTATCTGATTCAAACCCTGTCCTCTGAGCCTCTTTGTAAACCCCCATATTATCATTCTGCACTCCCAAATCCTGCTGAGCATCTCTTTCCAGTATTATTGGAGAACATTCTATCTCATGATTCTCTCTTATACCATTCTCCCTTTGCTGCTGAACACTCTCCCCCAAGTCCATTTGGATAAATTGATCTTTTTCAACATCATTATCCAAATCCACCAAATCATTCACCTTGTTCAAATCAGCTAAGATATTTCCTACTTCTGGTTCCTTCTGAGTCTGTTGCCCCCTCTCCATACCATTATTCACCTCTACAGCATCTTTGATTTCAATCAAGATGTCAAAGCTTTTTCCAACCACTGGACCTTGAACCCCTGTTTTTTGTCTATATTCCTTCCTAGGTTTTTCCTTCTGCACATCAACAGCAATAGCTTTCCCTTTCCTGTTCTTCCACCCATTTTCCTGGCCAGAGCCATTAAGTTGATCAGGCTTCTGGTCAGAAGTAACCACCACCACTTCCTTTTTCTTTTTGCGACATAAAGAATCATCATGCCCCTGCTTGAGACAAGCAGGGCAATATTTGAATTCCTTCTCATACACTATCCTCTGCCACCTAGCACTCACACCCCCCATATCAAGCCAGAATCTCTTAGGATTACTTACCAGAAGATTCATCTCCACACAGGCCCTAGCTACCCCAGGCCTAGAGAGATTCAAAGTGGCATTATCAATCACCAAAATCCTACCAATGGGGCTCAATATATCTCTTAAACTCTCTCTGTTAAAGAGATGGAGGGGCAAACCAGGAAGAGACACCCAAACAGGAACCAATGGAGGTTCAATTCCAGGGTAAAACTCTGGAAACCACTTGAAAAGGCGAAATAGGAATCCCTCAATGTATGTGGTGTCCTTCAGCCAAACTTTAACATAATCTTCGTAGAGAGAAAATCGAATGAGTATATGCCTGGGGTCCAAAACTCCTACAATAAACTCCCCTTTTAACAGCCACCTTGAGTTGATAAACTCCTTCACAACTCCCAGAGATGGCTTACCATAGGCACACTTGCCTTTCAAGGTTAGATTAAAACCCCTTGAAAGTTCCTGAGTTTCGTCTGGGGACCAGTGCACATTGTTGAAAACAACTCTCTTAGCAGACTTAGAGGAAGTTGCAGAAATAAAGGAACCAAATGAGATGTTAGCAGGAGGAATCTGGACACCATGATCATTCTGAACACCTGAAATGACAACTGGGACCTGAGTTCCTTGCCCAGACAGAGGGATCTGAGAGTTAGGCAAAGTTCGATCGGTCGAGGGGACTTGAGAGCTTGAATGGACTTGGAAATTTAGAGAAGATTGAGGTTTTAAACTGACTCCATTAGTGTTTTGAATATTCGAAGAAGCAAGAGGAACCTGAATTCCTAGCTCAGACGAAGGGAGCATATTGTTCGCAGAAGTTCTCACAGTCGAAGGAAACATCGATGATGAGGTAAACTGAGCATTCGACTGATTTTGATTCAAAGGAGGATTAGGAGGCATAGGTTTTGTGAAATTACATCCCAAAGTATCAACCAAAGTGACGGAGTTCATCTCTGAAGCAGTAGGAAATTTTAGGAAATTTTCAATGTTCGACGGTTTTTTGAAAAGGGAGGCAAAATTTTTGGTTATGTCTGGTGGTTTGGGTGGAATTTGATGTGGTTCTTGACCAGGATTCATCGATTGACAAGCAAAGAAGCAAGGAAATCAGGAAGAAACAACAAGAAAACGAAGTAAAATACAGGAATCAAAGATTTCAAAGCTGGGAAACTAGAGAGAAGCCAGACCTTCTCTCTCTACAAACGAAAAATCTCCTCCCTTCCTATTAGTTTAGGGCTCAGATTTACCTGTTAATGTGGCCTCTTCATTGATGGGATCCCTAATAGTTTTCTGCACTGTCGATTGGGACCCTCTTGAAACCCCTTTATGATTTTAATTCTCTCATTATTACCCATTAAAGTTTAAGTTGATTGAATCTTGCTTTTCTAAGTTATCCTTCTAATAGATCAATTCCTTAGTTTAACCATAAAACGTGTCAGTTAAGAGCACAACCAAAGATGCTCTATCCATGGTAATGTGAAAAATCCAGTCTTGGCAACCAAGTTATAAAGTTTTCCTTCCCTCAGCTTTATTGGAGGTAAAACTTCTGGTTTCCACAGAACTCTAACTAACATACCCGGGGGTATTATATACATAAAGCTGTTGTGATATAAAGACTATGCTGTTGCCAAGGCATAAATTTATGACCATCCAGACAGAACATCTTTGTTTCTAAGAGGGACAGTTATAGGTTCACAATACGTTCTAGGAAACCATAATGCACTAAATATGAGATATTTACTGCATCACCGAATGTATAGAATTTTATCCATGAGGTTGCTGGTTGAGCTAGGTACTAGCCTAATTTGTCTTGCTCCTCTTTGTGGATCGTTTATTGAAGATTCATGTATGAGCAATTTTTCTGCCACAAGAACCAATGTATTTCAATCCTATGGAAGTTCCACCACAAGTACATGTTTAAAATCCCTCGGAATCTCCTCAACTAAAAACTGCAAATGTGGATTTACTGCAATCATATATTTGTAAATGCTTTCCTCCTGAAGACAGTGGCCTTTGAAGTATGTTTATTAGAGCTAGGCTATCACAAAGTAGCAGTTTTTGTGATATTAATGTATAAATGAATGACGAGTGATAATTTTCCTATTTCAATTATCTGAAATTTTTTGGGTAAAGACTGATGTTGTCTGTTATTGAAGATCTTCTTGATAAAGAATTGGCCCTGCTTATTAACAGCCCTTTGGCCACTTAAAGGCAGTACTTGGCCAATGATCTTTGATTGTTTACTCTCATGTAAGTTTGCATCACTTTTTATGTCAACATTTATGTTCTACATTTTCATTCATGCAGGCTTACTATCCAGAGCGTTTAGCAAAGTGTTTCATACTAAATATGCCACAGTTTTTCGTGAGTGTTTGGAGAGTGGTATGCCGATTCCTTGAGAAAGCGACGCTAGAGAAGGTATGCAATATAATTAGCAGTAATTTTTCTAGTTGAAGACACATTAGATAACCTCCTTAACTGGGTTGCATAGACTGGATGATCGATTACCACCAGGAGGTATATTGTCAGTGAATATGCCATTTACACCTTGACTTGCTGTATGCCAATACCTTCTATTTTCCAATGACTGACAATGATCTGTTTTGGTTGATAATTTTCATTTGAATTTCAAGCGGTGATTTTGAATTTGTCATAACGAATGCAGATCGTAATTGTGAGCAATGAAGATGAAATGAGGGAGTTTGTCAGGGAAATTGGTGAAGAGGCCTTACCAGCGGAGTATGGCGGGCGAGCAATGCTCGTGGCTCTTCAAGACGTTGTACTTACCCCATTGGTAACTCAATAGATAAATCAATGTGGCTTCGGTTGCAAACCCAAGTCTCAGGAATCTGATGTATGAATGATACTTGTTCCCCAATTACACCTTGTAACCATTGTAACCTTGTAGCTTATTAAGTACCACCAGTTGTTTCTTGCATCACTTTAATACTCTTGACCCTCAAAACTATTGCTCTTGTGATAGAAGAGTACTTTGTCAAGATTAAAGGTTTCAACTTGATGCCTCCTTTTGCTTGTAGATTTATGTGATGAGTTTTGGTACAAATAGAAACGTCGAGTGCCAAAATCACCAGGACACTAAAGCTTCAGTCCATAGTCCTCCACAATTTAATCGCCTTCTGGTTTCATTGATCCATGCATCATTTTCATGCAACTCGAGTTGACAGGGTAGGACAAGGATTAAAATTTGGTTTCTGCACATAGTTCTGATCAATTTGGAAACCACGTTGGTTGAGACATACTGAAACACTCTGAAATGCCTCAAAAGAGTATGAGTTTCGATATTCAATCACTAGTACATTTTTGTTTCTACAGAAACCAAACTGTTTTGGTTGTTTGAAACGTAATTTCCATCCATGGGTTGAGTATAACATTGTTTCCACTGGGCTTCTCTTCAAAGGAAAATCAGGCTTCGTAGATAGGCAAATTAAAAAATCTGTTAAAAGAGTGTAGTTCTTTGATTGAAAATCTTCCAAATTGAACTACCACCAATAGTAGCTCTTGCTCAACTCATCTCTACTATAGTGGTAGATATGCTGGTCCAAGCTTTTAATTTTCTTCTGCTAAATCTGGCTCCTGTTCTAGCAAGATAGTGTTGGATTGTATTTGGATCATCTCAATTTCAAATTTTACCAATCTCGCTCATATTAAATCATTCACCGTTAAGTTCAATGGGTCTCATGAGTGAGATTGAGATTTTATGGGTCCATACAGGAAGACACAAAAGAATTTTACTACAATTTATTAAACTCACTTGATTTGCATCCGTGTTGTCCGAATTGATGTGCATCACATCCCAAGGCATTGCATAAATCAAACAAGAACAATTAGTGTTACATGTATTTGAGTTACTTTCATAACTTTGTTATACATATATTTGACCGACTTTATGATACATGCAGATTTACTGCAGTTGCTACTAGATTTGTTCAACCCATATAGCTAAGTCACCCCAAATTTAAAGTTAGAGTATCTCTAATCCTAACTCTAATTTAGAATCAAATTTAAATTTGAGTCTAAATGGTTGTAAAATCTTCTCTAACATTAGACTCAAACCTATACCAAATCAAAAAAAAAAAAAAACTTATTCTGGACCCAAATTGAGAGATTTAAATTCTATACCAAATTTTTAATGGTAACTTTTTTAACATATTCAAAGTTAAAAGACTTCTTCGATTACTTATTCTTTACCTTTTATTGTCTCTCTCTTCTACACTGTTTCCATCGCCGACCACCACCAAAGCTTTCATAGATCATTTGAAGATCGGTAGGTAAGCTTCTTTCTTTTTATCTTCGATCTTCTTGATTTCTTGTATTTTTCAAAACCCTAATCTCATTTATCTTTTATACTACATAAACTCTAAGTCTACCAATCAAATGTCTTTAATTTTTTTGAGTTGAACACTGTCGGTAGTACAATTTCAAGTCACCTGTTCTTCCTGTAATTTCAAGTCTTCACTATCTATAAATTTAGGAAATTTGTCATTTTATTTCTCCAATTATCCATTTTTGTTAAAAATGATATGTTTTTTTTTTCTTTTTCTTTATATGGATTTACAAAAAAAAGAGATTAGAATAATTTGAAAACTCCGGGGTGGTTTTTTTTATTCCCAGGTAGTGTTATATCCATATTCAATTTTTTTTGAATTACCCATTTGCGGAGAGATATGAAAGTTTTATTTATTTTTCTAAATATCATGACTTGAATGACACAAAAAAATGAGNAAGCTTCAGTCCATAGTCCTCCACAATTTAATCGCCTTCTGGTTTCATTGATCCATGCATCATTTTCATGCAACTCGAGTTGACAGGGTAGGACAAGGATTAAAATTTGGTTTCTGCACATAGTTCTGATCAATTTGGAAACCACGTTGGTTGAGACATACTGAAACACTCTGAAATGCCTCAAAAGAGTATGAGTTTCGATATTCAATCACTAGTACATTTTTGTTTCTACAGANTAATTTTTTAAAAGATATGAAAAGAATTTCACTTTTTTTTTTTATCTCAATAAGTGAACTTACCCAATGTGTGCTTGCTGGGCCTTTGGCAATAAAGAGAAAATCAAAAAATAAAAAAAAATAAAATTAGAGGATGGAAATTGTCAAATTACTCACCCCATGATTCTATATGAAAAATTGAAATTGTTTGAAGAAGTATTAAAAAACAAAAGAGCTAGATAAAGAAATGCCTATGTAATATTCAAGTAGACATGTGCCAACCAATTTAGTGGAAGCGACTGTTTCTTCATCTCTTGGACATGAAGCCAAAATGGGCTTTNCTGTTTTGGTTGTTTGAAACGTAATTTCCATCCATGGGTTGAGTATAACATTGTTTCCACTGGGCTTCTCTTCAAAGGAAAATCAGGCTTCGTAGATAGGCAAATTAAAAAATCTGTTAAAAGAGTGTAGTTCTTTGATTGAAAATCTTCCAAATTGAACTACCACCAATAGTAGCTCTTGCTCAACTCATCTCTACTATAGTGGTAGATATGCTGGTCCAAGCTTTTAATTTTCTTCTGCTAAATCTGGCTCCTGTTCTAGCAAGATAGTGTTGGATTGTATTTGGATCATCTCAATTTCAAATTTTACCAATCTCGCTCATATTAAATCATTCACCGTTAAGTTCAATGGGTCTCATGAGTGAGATTTTATGGGTCCATACAGGAAGACACAAAAGAATTTTACTACAATTTATTAAACTCACTTGATTTGCATCCGTGTTGTCCGAATTGATGTGCATCACATCCCAAGGCATTGCATAAATCAAACAAGAACAATTAGTGTTACATGTATTTGAGTTACTTTCATAACTTTGTTATACATATATTTGACCGACTTTATGATACATGCAGATTTACTGCAGTTGCTACTAGATTTGTTCAACCCATATAGCTAAGTCACCCCAAATTTAAAGTTAGAGTATCTCTAATCCTAACTCTAATTTAGAATCAAATTTAAATTTGAGTCTAAATGGTTGTAAAATCTTCTCTAACATTAGACTCAAACCTATACCAAATCAAAAAAAAAAAAAAACTTATTCTGGACCCAAATTGAGAGATTTAAATTCTATACCAAATTTTTAATGGTAACTTTTTTAACATATTCAAAGTTAAAAGACTTCTTCGATTACTTATTCTTTACCTTTTATTGTCTCTCTCTTCTACACTGTTTCCATCGCCGACCACCACCAAAGCTTTCATAGATCATTTGAAGATCGGTAGGTAAGCTTCTTTCTTTTTATCTTCGATCTTCTTGATTTCTTGTATTTTTCAAAACCCTAATCTCATTTATCTTTTATACTACATAAACTCTAAGTCTATCAATCAAATGTCTTTAATTTTTTTGAGTTGAACACTGTCGGTAGTACAATTTCAAGTCACCTGTTCTTCCTGTAATTTCAAGTCTTCACTATCTATAAATTTAGGAAATTTGTCATTTTATTTCTCCAATTATCCATTTTTGTTAAAAATGATATGTTTTTTTTTTCTTTTTCTTTATATGGATTTACAAAAAAAAGAGATTAGAATAATTTGAAAACTCCGGGGTGGTTTTTTTTATTCCCAGGTAGTGTTATATCCATATTCAATTTTTTTTGAATTACCCATTTGCGGAGAGATATGAAAGTTTTATTTATTTTTCTAAATATCATGACTTGAATGACACAAAAAAATGAGTTTTAAAACAATAAGAGAATTTTTTAAAAGATATGAAAAGAATTTCACTTTTTTTTTTTATCTCAATAAGTGAACTTACCCAATGTGTGCTTGCTGGGCCTTTGGCAATAAAGAGAAAATCAAAAAATAAAAAAAAATAAAATTAGAGGATGGAAATTGTCAAATTACTCACCCCATGATTCTATATGAAAAATTGAAATTGTTTGAAGAAGTATTAAAAAACAAAAGAGCTAGATAAAGAAATGCCTATGTAATATTCAAGTAGACATGTGCCAACCAATTTAGTGGAAGCGACTGTTTCTTCATCTCTTGGACATGAAGCCAAAATGGGCTTTTCTCTGCTTAGGAAAATATAGAGTTAGTAATGAAGGGCAGTAGGAGAACTGTGAGAAAAAGAGTTGTAGAGTGTTTCACAGGATCTTCAATCATAGCTTCTTGACGGGGGACTCAAATTCCAAACCATCAGAATTTCATAGAAAACATTACTCTTGAAGGGTTCAGAATTTCTTATCATGATTTGACTAGTAAACCTAGAAATGTGGTAATTGAAAAGAGTTGTTTAGATTCACTCTATTATGATTGAACAAGTAAAAAGCCCACCAGCCATATCAAGTCTTAATTGAACATACTTTGGCTTTGGCCGAACATATTGAGTAGAAACCCGACCTAAAAATAAATCAATTGAAAATAGTATGCTCGATAAAAAGTATTCCCGAGCAATAGGATCAGCCCAATAGAAAGGCCACTTAAGCAACTGCTTAGGGTCCCCAAAAAAAGAGGAGCCCAAAATAATAAGTATAGTCTTTAACTGTAATTTAAATTGACCCAAAAATTTTGGTTTAAAGGGCTTCTTACAAGGCCTAGACTAGAACAAAGGCTCAATTCACATGTCTCTCTCACTTTTTTCAACGGTTAAAAGAATTGAAAGTTTTAAAAAAGGTCAAAATTAAATTTTCACAAGTAAACCCTAAAAGTCTACTCTCTCTCTCTCTTCCCCCAAGTAAAAAAAGTTTATATAGCATAATTATGTATTTCTCTCTTGCAACCTAGATTAAATTGAAAAAGTACATATTTGTTTGATTAGTATTTTAATTTTTTAATATTTTTATTGA